GGGGGGGGGGGGGCAAACAGAGGGTGAACTGCTGCTGACCTCGACACTGTCTCCAAAGAAACCAGCCTTTTTTGTTATTGCATGGCTGCATAAGAGGAACATAAGAGTCTTTCCACTGAACGTAGAGATGAACACTATGGAAAGAGAACCCATCTATAAATCTGGGTGGGATGTTACCTCAATATCCCTTTTCTTTCTGTCTGCATAAAAGGTTGGGAGTTCCTTTTTTTTTTTTTTCCTACAACACCCTCTAAAGATAAGAGCCAGAACTCCATGTCCTTGAAGCAGTGTTCTGAGAAAAGGGTGCCTCATCTCACATTAGTGTGGGAGCCCGTGAGCCTTATGGATCCTCTAAAACATTATCAGCAGGGCAGTGCTCTGTGTTGCTTAGCAACTAAATAAGGTTTTGAGAGGGGTTTTTGTTTTGTCTTGGGTGTGTGGTTTTTTTTAAATTAACAAAACTTGTCACAAACCATTTTGATCCTCCTTAAGATCAGCATTCAAGGCTGAAAAACTGCATCTTACTACCTAAGAACTGAGACAGTGTGACTAGCATTGGTTCTTACTGTAACAATTCTAGAGACCCAGGTTTTACAACTGCAACCAGAATTTAAAGTAGGCAGAAGGCCTGCTTTTCAAGGGAATCAGCCACACTACCCCTGAAAATGAATGAGTTTCTACTAGAAATATTTCTATTTAGCAACAGCTGCTTACATAAAGGTAAATAAAAACTACCACCAACCACCACTGGCCCAGGACACCTACCAACTATGAAACAGAGTGGATTTAAAAAATATTCATGAATTATGTAATGTCCTAATCCACAGTCACACAACAGAACTACAAAATCAACATCGTCTCTAATATTAAAGCAGGAGGAATTAGACCGGCCTATAACTGAAATGGGAAATCCAAACCCAGGCTGGCTTATGGATGAACACAGCACAAACAGAACTATTAACTTTTATTTCAAGCATGGTAACTTGTCTGATTACCACAGAATGAAGCCACTCTAAATAATGGAAGTGTTGAAATGGAAAACCAATCAAATGAAAGCAAAGCAAGCTGAAAGGATCTTATACCCAGAACTAAGCTTTGAATTTGAAAGAACAAAGAAAAACCAGAAGGAACTCATTTTTGTAAGCTACCCAATATACTAAGCCTATCAAAAACAGTATCTTGTAATACTAGAATTTAAACCATCAACATCTCATATTGCCAAAGCATGTACTCAGTGCAACGAGAAAGTGCTTTCTTTCCTTTTAAAAATAAAATGGTACATGTTCTTCCACCAAAAACAAGAACTGCAGTTCTGAAGAGTACTTATTTCAAAATATGTAGCAAGGAGAAGTTAGGTTAAGATAACATTCCCACCCCACAAAATATTAAGGCTCCAAACGCTAACCCAACGCCATCAAAATATTAAAGCACTCATGCTTTTTTTAAAAAGTGTAGCAGTCTGAAAATAAAAAAGTTTCTAGTAGTACCCAAGTCCTCTTTTCTGAGTGGCTGCAGTCTTGAGATTTGGTTTTCCAATTTCATTCCCTGGCCATCTTCACACATAAGGCTTTCAAGCAATCTTCAACTCCTGTTTTAAGTCCTAGTCAAATGCCTCCCCCACTGCACACCATCTTCTGTGTAAGTTCTTTTTTGTTTGTTTTAATGCCATGCTTTCTTGTATACAGTTTCTATACTGGGCAAATACATAAAGAAAATCATAATTCTCACATACATGCATCTTGAGAATACTAGTAGAGGCAGAATAGTACTGGCAAAGAAGATAAAGGTGGTCAGTGAGAAGACGATTCTCCCAGACCTCCAGGAAAGCCACAAGAGGATGATCCGTCTTTCACACCATAAGAACAGCTCTCTCACAGACTTCAGGAAAGCACCAGGATTACAACAGCCTGTGTATGAACTAATCATAATCACGCAGACAAGATCTAGGCATGATTCATAAAGTTCAGCCATTGACTCAATTAACATATTGCTGTACAGGCTACAAAAAAAAAAAAAAAAAAGGTATTTTTTTGGTGAATAAATGCAAGTTTGTCAGGATTTCAAGTATTGTTTTCTTTTCCCAAGCTTTGCCTCACTATAATGAATTTCACTGGTGAAGCTATCTCTTCTGGCCTCTCCACAGCTCACTAGCTAACAAAGACTGCCATTTTATCCATTTTCTGCTGGAAAGTCAGTTTTAGCCCATACTTAATAAGAAACACATTTTCTGTGAAGTCGTTTAAAAACCGCTGAAGTACTTCAGATAACAACTTCAAAAATTATTTTAAGATGGCATTTATGCTTTAAAAGGAAACCACATTAAACTTACAGAAACCTGTTGTGTGTTTTGCAGTTTGTGGCTTTAACAATTCAAAATGACCAAGGAGTGAAGCACAGAGTACATACACAGAGTAAAGAGAGATAAGAATTACCAAGGAAGACACAGTTGAGAGTATATGGACTTGGTGAACAGCCCTCGTGCCCCTTCTCATCGTATTTACAGTGCCAGAAGTCCACACTGCTAGGAAACAACCTCGATTTACCCAAACCTGTGAAGTTTTACTTTAAAACTCTGACGATGGGAAGCAGTTTTCCCGAGGGATAACCGCTACCAAAGCTCTCACAGAGACACCGGGGGATGGCGGTGGGCGGCCCCGAGTGCCCTGCCCGCTCCCCGGGCGGGGGGCAGCGGGT